AAAACAGGCGGAAGTTTGAGTGTAGATGCAAAACAAAAAATCCATGAATTTCGGCATTATCACAGGAACTTTCTGCAAGGTTTTTTAAATCTCAACACAGGAAAAAACACAAAAGAACTACTTATTAAATCATCCTTTCAGAAAGATTTGAGTACGATTTTAAAAAAAAAAAGGATTGTTAGATTGTTTTACTAAAAAACGAAAACATGCAAAAATACAAGTACAAGAAAGTACAAAAACGCTGGATTTGCAGAAAAACAATTGCCCTCAACCAAATACTAACATCTAAAGCATATTTTCAATCGGGGAAAAAGAGATTCTGATTTCTACGAGATAGAAACTTCCCACACAACAAAACTTGGTTTTTTCGAGGGTGTTATAATGTTAACATGCAGACTATGTCTTCCATGAACTTACCATAGTACCTCCTCCCCTGGAGATAACTGTTGTATTAAAGACAGAACGGACGCCACAAAGATAGGTAAATGTCATCGGATGAATGAAAATCTTTGCACGAACTACGGGAACCCAACTGTCAACTCTTGCTACAGTGGTGAAGTGTATGGGAAAATGTGCTGTAGATTATGATTCCCCCCCCCCCCAAAAAAAGTACTTGCACTTTTCGATATTTTATTCACTGAGAATGGGTCTTAAATTTGCCATAAGAAGTCCCTGATAATCCTGATCCCAAGATTTAGCACTCTCACACACCCCCGAAAAAAATGCAATCAAATAAGTGTAAAGAACACAGTGGCATATTCACATGGGTGACAGCATGTTACTGTTCACTGGTCCACAGTTTTTTGGATCTCACCTGTTCCATGCCAAGATCTTTTGAGGTCATAAATTCCCTCCTTGTGCTGACATCCGAGCTCGCTCGGGACGTCTTCCCGGCTGCCTCGCTGCCGTCCCCGTTACTCCGGATTAGCTGCTCCTCTGACGACACGCTGGTACCTCGTTCTCTCTCCGGTTCCTTCTCTATACGTATCACCTCTTTACCGTCTTGGCTAAAAGTCCGGACGGGGCCCTTGCGCAGAGGAGGACCGGTCCCCACTGTCCTTTTTCAAAATGAACACCGAGGTTTCGTCTTCGTTGATGGTGTCCCTTAGATGGAATTTGGGTGAAGTGGAGGACGGGATGCCGCTGTCCACAGACCCGCCCCGTCTCCATCCTTTCTTGGAGCTGCCTTCAAACATCGCCATGCGGGATGCTATCGATCGAGTCCCTTCCGAGCTCTCCGACTGGCTGCTTGATATTGATGAAACCTCAGACAAGGTCGAGACCTCTTCCTCCGCAGCCGGCGGTGGTGCGGAGTGTACGACAGTCGCCTCAGCTGGGACAATGTTCTCTTTCTCAACTTCTTCCCGTCTTTTGCTCGGCGAGGAAGATACGTCCACGCGTCGGGTGCTGGAGACGCGAGTTCCCGAGGAAGCCCAGCTCGGGGAATACCCGCTGTCCGTGTGCTCCTCTTTGGTGGATCGTGATGAAGACTCTCTCCCCGTATCCTCGGCTTTCTTGGTCTCCTTAGCTTTGCTCTGGCTGACAGATTCCCTCAAGGAGGGTCGTGGGGCTGTGGATGCCACACTGGATATTCCATGTTCACCCAGACGGACCATCTTAGGAGGGGCGTCCATGCCTGCCATCCAGTTCTGGGCCGTCAACGCTGGTTCCGTGCTGACTGTTGGGGGATAAATATCCTCCTGGAAAGCTTCCGACTGAAATAAAAAATCAAACGATTAAAAAAAACTGTCGGAGAGTCCTTTTATTAGCTGGACATGAAAATCTCAGTTAAGACCTTCTGTCTACTCAGTGACTCAGTCAGGGGACACAAAGCCGGCCCTTTAGACACAGCAAAAATTTCAACATGGAGTCATAATTCTCGAGTTTGCAACTGACCTTTCTTGGCACGATCATAGACACGGGTTCGCAGACTCCCTTGGAGACATGGAGCTTGTAGAAGCGCACCAGCTCACACTGTTTGAGGTCCAGGCCCCGCTTGGGCATGATACCCATACCGCACTGGGGCATGGACGTGACGAACTCGTTGAGTCGGAAGATGCAGGGCTCCTCCTCAGGGTTGATCTCAAAGTAGCGGATGCTGCCATCGCCCTACAACAAAGAGATAATAAGTGTCGGACACGACAATTATGTGACAGATAGGAGACAGACAGAGAGATATGACAGATACTATTATGAACGCAGGAATTTATGGACAGACCTGCTCATGTAAAGCCAAGGAATGAGATGTCTTTACAAAGTGCACACTTCTACCCTACGTCATTATTACCCCTGCTCATCAGGCCTATTAAATCATTCCTTTGACCATCTCAGCATCCTGGGGTGTTAATAACAATAATAATGATAAATTTGGGGGCTAATCATCCTTACTCGCAGTGGAAGCTGAATTGCGAAGGACGCATCTACCACGTGGTGAAGCCAAAGGCTGGTTAAGGCGCCTTTGACAGCAGCCATACTACCCATGTCTGACCACGGAGCACAGCCAGAGATCGACATGTGTTGATTTTTCGCAGAGGGAGGAAAACCGGAGAAACCAGAGAAAACAACCTGCCTTGCACAGAGGAGAATCAACGAACAACTCTACTCACGTATGACCCAAGGCGGAAATCGAACCCAGGCCACCGCGGTGAGAGGCGAGCGCTTTACGCACTACGCCACACATGCCAGCCTACGCAGCACGCCACTGCCGTTTCTGCGTAACCTGGGACACTCATACTAGATCTGCGAACATTGTCTTCACACGAACAACTCTACTCACATATGACCCAAGGCGGAAATCGAACCCAGGCCACTGCGGTGAGAGGCGAGTGCTTTACGCACTGCGCCACCAATGCCAGCCTATACAGCACACCACTGCCGTTTCTGCGTAACACTGTCTTCACTTCTTATTTCATGAAATTCACCAATTGTTTATATCAAGACCTCACCTTGCCAACGACAAAAGCGACGCGACTATCCGCATCATAAAACAGAAGCTGCGCCCCGGTTCCCACGTCAATATCCAGCATCTGAACGGGCTTGGACAAGTCTTCCTACAACGGAAAACAGTTTTACGACAATGCTAATAACTGCAAGCAACAATCAAAAATAGTAACAAAAAAAAAAAACCTGAACAGATTGATATTGACATTATGTTGTATGATGGACATTTTTTTGCGCCTCAGTTAAGAACTGCATCATTTTTCATAAACCGTTGTCAATCTTGGACGATTTACAGTCTTTGGTAGCAAACATGGTATCAAAATGTAGCTAACAACATTCCTCAAAGGTCTAAATAAATGACGTCATCATAAGACGATAAGATTCAAAATTATGACCCCTCAAATGAGTGTGGACTTCATTCTTTTTTTTGCGGCATTTACTTTCCCACCAAGCAGAGTTTTAAAGCGAACTACTTCTCCCACTTTACCTGCTTCCAGCATGCTATTTGGCGCGAGCCAGCACGAGTCGTTCCCGTGCTGACAAGGTAGTCCGAGTTGCCGGCAAATGCCACCTTTGAAGTCTTGGTGCCCGTGTGTCCTTCCCCAATCTAAGTTAAAAAAAAACACACAGAAAAAAAAGAAGGAAATAATGACAATGGATTTAGTTCTTACAGAAACTTTCTAATGTTTCCTTTGCTACGTCAAAATTATTCTGTCCTATTTATTTCATAGATCAAAATGCCCTTCCGTTCACAAATTTGAGTCTTAAGCCCAGTTCATACTTCATGCGAATGCGAAGCGAACTTGACGTCATGAAACATACACTGCAAAATTCACCCGAGGTGAAATATGCTCAACTTCAGCGCAAATACTTGACATGACGTCACAAATTCGCGTTCGCTTTCGCTTTCACGCCGAGTATGAACTGGGCTTTACACCACAACAACACAACTGAAAGAAAAGAAATGGGAAAAAAATACAGGACCCTGAATGAAGACCAGTGCATGAAAAGCAAATGTATCATCAGGAAATATTCAGGGCCAAAGTGGCCATGAGTTGAAATACGTTTCAAATTTTGCAAATTCCAACGGTGATACCTGTTGTGACATCACAAAATCGTATCCGAATTGCATAAGCACGAGAATGACTGGCCTTTAAGCTCGTGACAAACCTGGAAGACTTTTTCAAAGTACAGTTTAGCTACCATGAGCCAAAAACGACATTTGACATTCAAATATGCATACTAACAAACATTATTCCTAGGGACCATCACAGTCTGCGCAAATTCACTTCAAATTGGCACGGCTCGCCTAGCATTGACTTCAAGCCCCACCTTCAAGATTTCTCCCGTTCGCGCGTCGATGATTCGTATCTTCTTGTCCTTGCAGGTCGTCACCAGTAGATCGCCCACCCAGCTCCAGGCTACGCAGTTTATTCTGTCCCGGTGGCATTCAATGATTTGGAACGGTTCCTCTTGTTCCACATCCCAGATGACAATCTGAATATAATTACGACAATTCACAATAAAACAATACATGTTAAAGTAGGCAGACCTGACATATGTCATAACAGTAATTATTGACAAGGGAACACACATGCATTAGACTTTTAGAGAAATGGTGGACACTATAGTAGAGCGCTATTTGTTTTGGGTAAACTCCATCTGACTTACCTAAATTTACCTCAAACAATAGCGCCCTGCCATTGTGTCCGCCATCTTTACAAAAAAGGCTAATGGACAACAGAAAATGACACAAGCAGGTGAACTCTCATACAATTATGGTCAATGGGGAACAACTTGCAAATAGAGATCAATGGTCATAAATGTAAAAATAAGAACATTTGATAAGATGGAATTTGCGTCGGGTGATGTGAATTCAACATTGGGTTTTTGCCCTTCACCGACGTATTTTTATAAACACTGTATACTCGGTGTTGTCCCGAGCGATTGTGAGAGAAAAATATCACTCAGGTGGGACTCGAACCCACGACCTCCTGCTTACTAGTGCAGACAATCACCCAGGACATCACTGAGTATGCAGTGTTTTATATAAAATACGTCGGTGATAGGCAAAACCCAATGTTGAAAGAACATTTACCTTGGTTGAATTTTAAATGAAGCATTTGACAGAAAAACAATTATCAGTGACGAATTACTGGACGGAAAGTCTAGTTTGGTCATAAAAAGCACTGGACCGGTGTTTTAATTACTGGACTTGATCATGCGGTCCAGGGGTAATTCCAAGCTCTGTAATATCTAGAGCAATCTGCCAAGCATTACAACGAAAAATCTGGTTTTCCGATTCGTGCAGTTCCGGCCTAGTGTTTCTTCAACCGTGTCACGTTTGACCTACAGAAGGAAAGACACTGGATCTGTATGGCCTTGAAGCTGTAAAAAAAACACCTCTCAAATTACGGGAAATATATCTAGACCTCAGAGTTATTAATTTTCTAGAAAAGACAAAATGCTGAACATTGAAGACAAGGTTGTTTTGAATTATGCCCGATATGCACATCCCTATTGAAAGAACACTAGGCGTCAGTTTCACAAACTTTACAGAGAACCTTAGGCAACGTCTGTGGGGAGTGTGGCCTAGTGGTTAGGGATCGTGACTCATGATCAGAGGGTCAAGGGTTCCAATCCAGCTGCTGGCCATATGTTGTGTCCTTGGGCAAGCCACTTCACCCACACTTGCCTCTCTCCAACCAGGAGTATATGGTACCAGCATTAGCTGGGGAGTATCCTGCGATGGACTAGCATCCCATCCAGGGGGATTGGAAATATTCTCATAGTCGTTGGCATGCCAAGGAAACCGGAGATAAACGCCAGCCTGACGGGCCATATTGGCTTGTGACAGACTTTACTTGGGCTACGTCTGAATTACGTGGCTCTGGCCAGTGGCTACAGTGGCTACAGCCACTTCCATAGTCGCGTGTGTAATTTCGAGCCGTAGCCAAGCAATTCAGACATAGCCTAGTTTGGGATGGGTGGAGCATTTTTTTAAAAACAAATAGGCTGGTGCTATACCTTGTTGTCTTGACCAACACTCAGTATTATACCGGAGGCTGTTGGGTGCCACTCTATCTGTAGGACGCGCCTGGTGTGTTTGACGAGATCAGCCAAGAGGGTCGCAGTGGTTTCTGTCAGTACACCGGTGTCCGGGATCTCCCATACTTTCACCTATAGAGGCAAGACGACATGAAGACAAATTTCCACAAAGAAACTCAGTGTTTTCTACGGACTCACTGGCTCAGTACCCAATCAACAAAGTCTGAACTCAGGTTAAACCTACGAGGGCTAGAAGACACCTGTACATGCTTTCTGATATCATCCCTGTACACGTTTCGGGAAAGATTCCCATACCTGGCCATCACTAATTTTTCCCTTCAGTGACCTATCGGCCATCAGAAAGTGATAATATATCCTTAAAAGTCAATTTTAACAGGGAAAATATTGAAGTATTTACTGAGCAAACACTCAGAAATTTTCAGACGAGTCTCACAGGGTTTGTGCACAGGGTGACAAGTGATGGCCCGATATGGGAATCTTTCCCGCGTTTCATCCATGCTGAGCCTTGAAGGGATGGTAGACTGACATCTTGCCAACATTTTGACCCAAATTTCCTTAAACTCAAACGTAGTGTTCACACAAAATGTCCAATTTTGGATGTAGGGTACTGAAAATGTTTTGTTTTTCTATTGAACGTGTATAGGAAATTCTACTCATAACTGGATGGAACGTGCTTTGTCCCATTGAACTAAAACTTCGCATTTAGTATAAATGTTTCTACTAATCTACCCAATTTCATAAAAATAGCTATTGCCTTTCCAAGATCAGAGGGGCGGGGGAAGGCTCTATCCCCAAACAGATGTAAGATGACCAAACAAAGTCTCTACTAGGGTTTAACAGGTCGTGGTTTAACAGGTCGTGGCATTTCACCCACATCACCACCTTAACCTTGACCCGTTTCTTTCCCCGGTACTCACAGTGCCGTCCTCGGAACAGGATGCTATTTCGTTATCGTTGAAGGGGTTCCATTTGATGTCTAGCACCGGACCCTTGTGACCTGATAGTCTGTTGTTGAGTGCGTCCTGGCGACCAAACTAAAGAGAGAGAGCAAGTGGTGGGGAAACAATAAATAAGAAAAAAAAGAATCCGTCAATTGTTTTTCCGAGGAACATTTTATCATGCTCTGGTCTGAACCCACTCATTTGACTCGTGATTTTAAAATTGATTTTACTGACAAAGTAACAGTTAATTATGCAGTGTGGCAGAGTTTGAAATTAGCATAATCAATTTTAGTTTTTGTATGAAGAAGGTCAAACTGCGATGACCAACTTTTATCCCCGAAATTGTCCCATTTGTGACTATAATTTCCATTTCTGCAGTATGGGCAACAACTGATTCAATACAAGTTTCAAGTTTATGCTGACAACTTTATTTACTTATAAAAAAACTGTGTTAGGCCTATGCTCTTAAGCGCTAATCTTTAAACATTTGACAGATGAAAGTTGAAAATGTCCTACTTTAAAAAAAATTTAAGAAGTGTCATAATGCTTATAGGTTCAGCTTGTAGCCATGGCTTCATCTGAGTAAAAATAAGACTTACTTTTAGCGGGACGTCATGCATATGGAACTTTTTGTCTTTTCTTTTTAACCAGACCAAATACAAGTATACAATGTATAACAAATGTGCTAACTGACACGAAATCTGTCACAAGGCATATCCAATTCATTCACTCCTGAACTTTGGATGTCAGATGCATTTCATCAAGCCGTCCAAAAAAACAAAAAAAAATGGGAAATGCGCAGATTGAATTTCCACTGTGGGGACAAGGAAGGAAGTTGAACTACAAAAAACTCAGAGAGTTGTGAGCCAAGGGAAGGAAAAAGGGGAAGCATACTTCTTGGTCCCTGGTCATGTGCGGGCAGAAAATTGGTAAATTCCGCACTTCGACTCTCCGCACAATTTGATACTGCGTCACTACAGTTTTTAATCATTTTGTGGAAAGCTAGATGTATCTTAAATTAAGAGCTGGGCTTGTGTTAAATTGTGATGAGTGGCACAGTAGATCTACAAAAATGTAGGGGTGTGAATTAATGGGTAGTACAGGAACCGAGAACCCGACGGAAAACAAAAAACGGTACCCGGGTACCCGTTAAAGAAACCAAACCCCAAAATTCAAATCTCGGAAGTTGCTGTTCAGATTGTTCATTAAGGTCCGCACGACAATACTACCACATCGATGGGTAAATGCAGCAAGATACAAAGTGTGTACAGTGAGGTTTATAGCTTTACATTGTAAACTGCAAGTTTCGCAAGCATCGTAAAAAGTGAAATACTTTTTGTTTTCCCATGAAGCCTGGTTTTCATTTTTGAAAATTTTCCAGAAATGACATTCAAAACCTTGCTTTTTCATTGTCCGAGAAGTTATACTAAGTATGTATGTAGGCCATTTTTTCCAAGCAGTTTTTGTGTCTTATTCCATATCCGAGTACATGCATATAGGCCAAGACAGTTGTGGTTCATGATGTACATTGTAACATCTTGAGACACTATGACTCGTGCCCCGTACCGTCTCAATTTGCCTCAGACAAGCACAGATGACTCAAGCACCCTGCTGATGCATGTCCTCGGGTTAGGTCCATTTCCGCCGGTTAAAAATAACTGCACAAAAGGCTTGCTCTTTCTTGTGAGCTATTTATAAACGCAGGACAAAGAGTTAAAGAAAGTTTTGTCATTTCATTTTTCTTCCCATGCTACTGAGGACGTTGCTTTGAGTAAACAAAGCAACTGCACAACTGTTCCGGAACATTTCACTGTACTAAATTTTACTTCTGGTACAGAATATCTGTACAATTTTCTACTTAAAACCAGAGGCTACTCCAACAATTTTAAGGGGGGGGCCTGACTTGTTGAAGTTCAGGTGTTTTTAAAGCTGGTAATGACTGGTGTGTTGAAGTTGACATATACCAAGACCAAAAGCATCAAGAAATGAATACAGATTTGCAATATTGTATGACACTATTTCAAAAAAAGGAAATTTGGGGATTGTTTTCCAGAAAATAGTTAATAATCTACATTTTTCATAAGGAGATTGGGCAGGGAAGGGTGTTTAGCCACCCTAACCACATCCCCCTGCATTAATCCCCATTAAAAAAAAAGGTGATCAAAAGTTGTGCCAGATTTTCAAACTTTTTTCTCACAAGTGTAATATCCACTGAGCTGAAACTTCAACAGGCTAGCTTTGAAACATCCTTCCTTGGATTTTGAGCGGTGTTATTATTGCAAACAAACAAAAATGCATGAAGAGCAAATGATCCTATATGCCATTAACCACCAACGCTCCACTTACTCTGTCAATCGGAACGACCAGAAAAGCTCCCCCTCCCTGGCACTCCAAGACCACCGCGACAAACTTGGGGTTGACGGCACAGAAGAACCCGTCGTGGGAGTTCTTGGTGATGGGGATGTTGTTGTAGCATTTCTCGCGCCGGTACGGGTTGCCGTACACGTGCCGGAACTTGGAATATCGCATGCCTCGGAAACCGGGCATGTCCTGGAGATACAAGGAGAAAAAAAGCAAACGGACGAAACTTCAGACATATAGTATTCATAGATGAATCCGGTCACGTGACCACTGCACACTCATGGGGCCCCCTTCAATGGAGGATTATCTGAACAATAGCTAGCACAATGCTTTTGTCACTGAAGAGGACCTTCATGACAGAATGGATAGCGCGCCCGGATTGGTTATGGAAGGAGCTGGTAGCTTGTGATATGCATAGCAGGCAGGAGGTATAAGGCAACCTCCATGCAGCACAGTCCTAAGCAAGCCTTCGTCAATCAATCACAAGTCAATCACAAGTCAATCACTAGTCTTCCATTCTCAAGTCAAATGATGCTACTTTGTCATTTTTTGTGACCGACTTACAGTTGACTTGTTTACGACCCTGACACCAGTGGCCTAGCCAAAGGGGAGGGGGAGGCCAGGGGTACGTCCCCTCCTCCTCCCCACCAAATTCCCAGTGACCCCCAGGTGTCTTTTTGAGTAACTAAACAGAAGAGGAATGTTGATTACTGTTTTTCGGTTCTAATCCCCTTAATTCTCTTGACCCTACGGCTTTATGAAACATCAATAAATTGGTAAGAAAAAAGAGCGCCTTCTAGCGTTTAAGAGGTCCAGCACCCCTCCCCTCCCCAACTCCCCCCCCCCCCAAAAAAAAAACACTGATCATAATATAACTGAAAATAAAGTATTGCTGCAAGAATTAAACTACGGGCAATTCCAGCTTTATGTAATGTCCACAACAGAGGTTTTAAGAGCTCAGTGAATAAACCTGAAAAAAAAAATGTTCTTCCAAATCTCATACATTTTTCATCGAGTAATGGTCAATGACATTACAGACTGATGAGTATTGAATCATTTCTCTGAATCATTAATTAGATATCATGGCTAACTTTGCTCTGTCGCAGACATTACACTTCCTTTCATATTACCGGAATGGCCCTAATGATAACAAGATTCAGAAACTTCCCGAAACAATGAAAAATGAAACCTCGAATTCGATGGATCTCTGATGAAACACCGACTCAGAAATTTAATTTTGCTTTGGTGTGATGTGAAAAATATTATGCGATATTAGTAAATTAGTACGAGTGATTTTCAACATTTTGAAAAGGGAGGATTTAAAAAGTTCGGTTAGGAGACTACATAAGGTATAATTGCTAATGTTTTCAGCGTGTGCTTTATCAAACATTTGCTCAAGTTGTCTTGACAGTATACACTGTACTATGTGTGCATGACAGAATGCGTACATAGAGGGCACTTTGTACTGGTAACATGGTAACCGAATACGACCAAGGATCAATATTTGACAATGTCCTAGCAGGCTGGCCATTATTCCTCCATGGACTAACACAATTTACAAGGTCACTCAATGCACAGCATCAAGCCCAGTAGGATTTCAGCACTGATTTGCTATTATGTACAAATGTACCACAGTAAAGAGAGTAAGGAGCGAATTTTACAACTTAAACATTTCTATCAAGCCCCTAAATAAAATACATTTATAATTTTTTTAAAAACGTCCAAATGTTTCTTTATGTCTAAATTTGGCACTACTTTTGGACATTTGTCCCAATTTTACTTCAAAGTTCGAACACTAAAATCGCCCAAAAATTGATTTATGTAGTAATTTTTTTATGCCCTGAAACACTGTGTATTATATCTGATGTAAATCATGTTTAATGATGGTCATTAGACATGTAAGAGCAATCGGCCATGTTGAGTGTGGAAATACATAATTTGTTTTTCACAAGTTCTTGTATTGTCATCTACATGTAAGTTGTAACAAGGTGAGGGACCAACAATTATACCCATACATCATCCCCTTGCAGCCTAGAAAAAGTACACGTAATCTGTTTTTATCTAATTCATTGATTCTACTAATAACAGCATGTTTTCCCCTTTTTTCTTATGAATAAGAAGTGCACATTTTAAACAAATTAAAAGACCCGCACAATCAAATTCTCAAAATGAAATCTCCTTATTTTCATACAATTCAGCGGCATGGATTTTTGCACAAATTTTTTTTAAAATCTTTATAATTATGGCCCGGTTAAGAAAGAAAAAACAGTCTTGGTATTTCACAATTTGTTCACATTTTAAAAACAAAGGATATCATCATGAGACAAATATTTTTATTTGAAATAAATTTCACAATTAGTGAATGGTTTCATGGGCCTTTGAAGGATCCCAGTACATATCTACATATAACATCCACACTCCCTCCATTATTTTATGATAACAAGAAGATTACTATCATTATCACCCTGTCTATCGCCCTGTCCGAAGCTGACCCTGAGAGCACACCTCACGTGTGTAATTCCCAGGTCCCCCCCCCCCCCTACTACAATATTGATTCTTTTTGTTGTTGTCAACTCAATGGGCTGGAGGCCACTGACCAATGTACATGTAGCGATCTAACGCTGCGTTAAACCTGAATTTTGTTTTCGTGACGCTACTTCCTGTGTGCTTCATGTTCATATTCACATAGATTCTGATTTGATCAACACTTGACCGTGTGTGAACACCTTAAGTGTCAAGTAATCAGACATCGTCTGGACTACTGGTGTCGAAAGCTGTCGTATTTGTGGAAGCATTCGGAAATTGAATCGTCAGTAAAACAGCCTGCCATTTGCAAATTTAGTGCAAATCAGTTTTGCATGATCTGAGCGTGCTAGGAGTATAATGTTCAAGACACAGAATTTTTGATAGATCCGTTTTTCCCCGATCGGAATACATAACACCACAAAATAGAATGTTTGGAATTTTATCTAGCGTGTTGACATTTTTGACATAACCCGGGTCAGTTTTGATTTTGAAATAACAAAATTTACAATTCATGAACAAAAATCTTCGAAGGGGTATACAGCTGCTTTTAACCTATTCATTCCATTATGCTTATAAATAGATACAACAAAATAGTAAAACATGAAGCTAAATTTTTGAGGGGGAAAAACATTTTTTCAGGTTTAAATTGCATGAAGCTCCTCAGCACAAAGCGTTGCTTAGAAAATTTATGCCATAAGCATAAAAATGAGAACAGTTTCAAGCACTGCATGACATAACATTTCGGTTGGTAAAGTGTACTTGCTAATTAAGGACGTGTCTGCAAATTATTTGGCTTCGGCTTGACTTTACACACTTGTCTATGGAAGCGGCTGCAGCCACTTTCCATAGACTCGTGTGTAATCTCAAGCCGTAGCCAACTAATTCGGACACGGCTATGGCAACCTTTCCTACCCTTACAAAAATCGGTTACCAGCCAAAATGTCATGTGATGTATACTGTTTGTGACTGGTACTCGGCTGATACTCGCTAAGCATGTAAATTTGCTTATCAATATTTTTTGTAGCTTAGCAGCTCAATGAGAGTAGTCTCTGCTCCAGCATGTAGTGTTTAATAAGATTACTTTGGGACTAATCTACCCACAATCTTATCTGACCTTTGTAATTGTAGCGCTTGAGGTAATTGCTTAGACCTGAGTATATGCATGTGTTTTGACGATTTCTGTTTGATTCATTCAAGTACATGTATAATATACACACTCAATTCTCTAAGCAGGGTTCCCGGAACTTTATGGGAACAAAACCCCCAATTTCCCCTCGATATTTCCCCGAGAAATTTCCAAAAATTTCCACGAGAACAAAATTTGCACTTGAATGAGGTTGCTGAGAAGTCAAGAGGCGGTGTAGCACGTACAGCCAATTTTTATTGTCTGGAGAGGTGTGTAACATTCACACTGCTTAAAAGCTAAAAAAAAAAGCCACTAAGCCAGTCAGTCAATGGCACAAAACGCACATTCGCCAAACTAACGACAACCTTTCCCTTCTGGCTCACAGCCAAATTCCCTGAATATTCCCTGATTTTTGTTGGTGTTTTTTCCAAGTTCCCTGAGTTTTTCCTGACTGAAAAAAAAATGGAAGTCATTTTCAAAGTTTTCCGTGATTTCAAGAATTCTGTCTATGGGGTGTTATGTGTATCACATATTCTGCTTTTTAAAAGTGGAATTTATAGGTATGGTGAATACAAACCTTTGAAAAAAAAACTTTTACAAATAATACATGCTCTGGGAAAGGGCAGAAATAAGAAATGTTAAGCGTATATTCAGTGTTAACAGAAACAAAATAGTGCAAGTTTGCAAATTTTCTAACTTTGTACAAGGATGAAGGGATATGTGTGGGTGTGTTAGAGATAAACATTACTTGGAATATAACCTTGAAAGACACATGACTCATTTTGTGACATTTTGGACCCTTTCCCAAATCTGTTAATGCTTCGATATTGTTGGTTAAGGCTGCCTGCCAGTTGTCTAAACAGTTTCGCACGGCAACAGCATTACATCTTGTTGCCAAGGCAACCAAGTCTGTAAACATGCACACACAAAAAAGGTGAGTGCATGCAACATGCATGAACTGCAAGGCAGGGGTTTAGGACGAAAAAATGTTTTTGTGACAACGATTTATGAAAGTAAGACTTGTGTAATCCAATGAACTTTAGCCTTTTTTTCGCAGGGATATCGAGTGAGACGATTGTACATGTATTTCATTTATTCTTCAAATGAGTATTATGGCATAATCTAGAAATTATACAATAAAAATTGAGGTTGTGGACAACACTGCAAATTTTAATCTCTTCTTTGAAGAAGTGTTGGTTTAGTTAGACACTGCTAGTTGGATGTTTTGGGCAATTTTTTTTTTTTATTCTGCAGCAGTTGCAAAGCACACACAAAAATGTAGCTTTCAGCCTCACAGCAAGAACAACTGAGAGCATTTTTATCTCTTTTTTTTGGGTGAATAGCAAGCCGAGTTTTTGTGTTGTTTCATGTCTACTTAATTTACCCTTCAAGATGCAAGGAAAAAACACCGCAAAATCTCCACAACAAATGCTCATGAAGAAGAAGCAATTAATGAATGAGTTGATTAAAAAAAAAAAAAAATTTAAATTATGTGTTTTGTCCGGGTCTAACATTTGGGGAAAAACTTTCACTTCTTTAAAAATGTTGGGTTAGTAACTTTGAAACTTTTGTATTAGAGTGTTGTTAGTTTTTCAAAATGTACGAACAGATACAACTTATGAGGAAACATCACTTTTGTGCAAGGGTAAATAGTTCTGCTGGGGTTGATTACGGAAAGAAAAAAAAAGCAGTCATTGGACTTTCCTGGTTCAAAAGTGTTCTTCATCAACTTTTTCGTTTTTGTTTCTTAAAATAATTGAACCTTGACCTGCTGTAGCATGCCTGTTTTGGATGACCAACTAACAGAGCTGCTTTTTGTTGTACAACTGATCGTTTCCGATCATTTGCATAACCGTGTTTGATGGTGACCTCACGTTTGTCTGGGTCGCAACATCAGGCGTCATTACAAACGAACATGCATGCTATGTTTAATGCCTTACCAAGGTCAAGCTATTTTCAGGAATAAAACGAGTCCGTGAACAACAAGATTGGTGTGAACGACATTCATGAAGATCAAATGTAACATTTCAATCTCACAGGGAAAAAATGAAAAAATTTAGCAAGATGTTTGCCACTTTATTAATCCAAGATGCATACATCTTAAGAGTTAGTACCAATGTGCATCCAGAGTCTGGCTTTCTAAAAAGTGCTGTGAGGAATAAAATGCAACAAGATGCAAACGAATCAACGAGTGAGAAGCTAATGGTTTGTTTATGGCTAAAAAGGAAAAAGGATTAGATGGTAACGTGAAAACATGTCAGTTTGAAGGGAAAACAAAACAAAATGAAGACAAAACATGCAGAATGCCAATTTTTGCTAGCTTCATATTTGCCGTCAATCTCTTCTCAAGATGCACATGTCTCTACCTGGTCGCCCATTTTGGAATCCCGATGTTCTTTTGTTTTCCTTGTGGAAGCAGACAGTCGCAGATAAAAAGGATGGGGTAGAGGGAGGTGTACAAGGAAGAAGCGATGTATACCACATAAACCTGCAGGTGCAAGGGGGCGGTGCCAAGAATGCAAAGTTAGAAATGAGGGCAACGTTGGGAGAATTTAAGAACACCAAGCATGCAAAATCAAAAAAAATTGTGATTGTACACACACACAGGATTCTAAGCAGTTAGAAGGAGTTGTAATTGGTGGGCGGAGTTAAGCATATTAAAATGTAATCCCGATATCAAAAGCAGATTAGAGCTCTAAATTCTGTAAAACTAGTGGACTTTGGACTTTACAATATTACATGTATTCATTTGAGCAGAGATTCCATGAGTAAACCAAGTTAAACCGTTACCAATGTTAAATTTTTTGGAAAGGGCGGGGAAGGGGTGGGTAGACTTCCAAACCAGATTATATGGGATGGAGTGGGAAATACACAGGAACAAATTACATTTGAACATACTCGACTAGACAGAATTTACCAAAACAAATGTATAAAAATGCAAGCCAAAAAAGAAAATTGGGAACAAAAAATTATTAAAGAGTGAAGTTTTTGAGCATTTTTTGTTTACATTTAAAGGGAATATACAACATTTGCAAACATCGAAAAATAAAACTACCAAGTTTTTGCGAAATACCTTAATAGGATGTTGGTAAATGACAGTCTAAAGCATCCTGTAAAATTATGGCACCTGGTATACTGTCATTTTCAAGAAAAGTGTTATTTTTGTATCAATTTCCAACGCTGATCGGCCGATCAGCGTTGGAAACAACTGGCTTTTTTTTCAAATACTGGCCCCAATTGACCATCGCACTTGTTTACAATCGATTACAAACCTATGAACGGGTACGAGCCAGCTAGACTGGTTCCCTAACCTTACAATTCCCCAATGTATGTAAACTGCTCTGTTTCTTCTTATATGGAGTCAGGGAACCAGACTACAGGAAAATGATCGTTTTTCTTGGTTTTTATAGCATTTTCGAACCCAAAACCTCCAAAAAGTCAGTGTAACTATATTTGCTTTATATTTCCAACCCCCCAATTCCAACCATTTCTGAAAATTACAGCAAAAGCAAATGATGTATATTCCCTTTAATAACACTCCAGAATAATTAAACCTTTCAATGATGCATTCATCAATGGACACGTTTTGTTGATTCATGACAAACAAAAATAATAACTAAAACGGATCACAAAACAGGTGTGCGTTCTTTCAGCAAAACGAAAACAATTCACACACATCCCTACCGGTATGTGATTTGTTTTTGTTTTGCTGAAAGAAAGCACACCTTGTGATCTGTGGACAGAACTTTACAACGGTGGTTGTGTATAAAATTCCGCAACTTGAAAATTACACTACTGACTTGAATGATTCTTGTACTAAAAGAAAGCTTATGAATTGAACTTTCACATCTTAGATTTTGAAAGTACTACATATGCAGTACTTCATTAAAACAATGTTTCCGACATTTGGGTGCTTTTTTTTTTTATCACCCAGTAGGCCTATATGTTGTTCGTAAACTACAGTCTTTTGCAGCAGTAATACGTCCATTTCCTTACATTGGTATGCATGTGGAACATTGCTGCATACATGAAAATTGGTTAACTTTCCAGCTAGGCTGACCCCCCCTGGCTCCCGCTCTATAATGTCAGAGTGAGTAATTTTGTGCCCACAAGACACACTTTTGTAGACACAACAAACAGGTATAGCGCCTTCGACTGGTTACTGGGTCTGGTCTATTGTGTAAGGACCAGGCCTATAGGGGTCAGAACGGAATAAATGTGAACAAAACAAACAAGCAAATCTGTCCTATTGTCCGCATTTCTGAGAGTCAAAACACCTCAGGAGAACCACTGAACTTGAAGGAGAGTTGTAAGTGCACGCAGACAACTTGGGCCGTTATTTGATCAGACCTTTTGTGCTCAAATTCTAATGCGCTGTTTCCATATGAATGTAAATGTCACTCTGAAAACTACAAATGTGCCCAACTTCACAGCTCTGTTAATTAAGCTACGCCGTCACAGCAGTCGAAATCAATCAGGTGACTGTTTTTATCAGTTAAGAATTCCCTAATGGTTAATTTGATATAGCCATGCTTTGACTGGAGGTGATTGATATGCCAGCTGTACCTACCAGTTACCTCTTGTCTGTTGATGGAATTTGACTAGTCACAGTGTTTACAAGAATGTGATCTGACTGTTTTTTTACTAGTCTGTATACAAATGCATGGCAAGGGAAGTGGAAGAAAGTTTTGACTGTCTGTGATTGATCAAACAATAGGAGGGTTACTATAAATTAAATTTCAACATACATGTAACCAGAGAATTCTGCACTAACGGCACTAACAAAGAAATTCTGCGCTAACCCTGTAAGCACAGAACCCTTTAGTAACCCATGAAATACTAAAGTAACCCATGAAATAACAATAAGAAGCACCATGAAGGTGGGCCCAGATAACCATGAAACTAAAAAAAATGAAATCAAATTTAAGCGTCCAAAAAATAGTTCTATTTACATAAGGTGTGGCAGTTTACATGTCTATTCAACTCCTATTCAATAGTACAGGCCACCCTGAATTTTGTCACCTTTTTGGGGTAAATCCGGGGGAAATAAAAAAAACTCCCCCAAAATGGCTGGATGACAAAGCACTGCGAGTGTTTTTTCCGTATATCACTTCATGGATAAATGCATCCGATGAATGCAGATAAACTAGTTTCCAAATATGTCAATCGTTGATAATGAAACTGCACTAAGCTAGTGACCCCCGTCAAGTGGAACCATAGGAAACGAAAGGCCGACAGGATTTGCACCGTGTTGGGTGGATACAATGTAGTGCAACAGTAAATTTCAGAACTGTATGCGTTTACGAACCAAGTTGCAGTGACAGAAAATTGTTGATTTTTTTTCAAACTCCTTACTCTCCTGTCCCGAATTGTTTGGCCCCAGTATTTCACATGTAATATCTTGACATGGTAAGGTACCTCTAGCCTAGGGTGGGTTCAAATCCCTGAAAGGTCAAACGAAAGGGTGAAATTGACGAATAACCATCGGACTCTGTTGGATTTAACAGGGTAGTCCTGGGGAACTACCAGGGGGTTAGGGTTTAAAAGTGTTACATTTTGATCTCTAAACTCGCTGTGTATGTATCAATACTTCTCACCACTAACATGTAATTCAATCAGAAATAAACTATCAATAAACTATGGCCATATAAAAATTTCTGTTCATGCCCCGATTACAATATGATTATCCCTCATCCATAGAATTCCACCCCCTCAAAACAGGAAATTTCAAATCAACGCCTGAACGATTTCCTCTGAGTAGCAATTAAGTGTGTTGACACAAAACTAGATAAGTACACACTCCAACAGTCAGACTGGCACAAATCAACAGAGAGAAAAAATAGGGCTCATGTTTCCGTGTTGTCAACAGATGAGTTTGAGTGAACTGCGGATCACAACCAAAATCATTGAGCGAATAAAAAAAAAAAATCAAGGTGTTGTAAACAGGATGCAATGCGAAGTTCAACAGACCCCTTGCACAGAGTAAGCACCGAATTTTCAATAATCGATATATCGGAAATCCAATATCAAGAATATTCGATATATCGATTATCCCATGTAAAAGTTAAAGACCTCAATGCTGACACTTTGATTACAAAAAAAAAAGTCCCAATTTTCCACGGCTTTATCCGGAGCATATTGCTCGAACTTTTTACAACAAAAAAAGTGTTACTGGGTTGTTTTTTTTACACCCTATTTTGAGACTATTCTGAATTCACCAAAATCCAGCACAGCCACTGTTCCTTAAAACTTGGAAAACCAATTCTTATGGAAAGAAACTAGTGGCTGTGTCACACAGTCCTGAGAAAAATCAATCAAAATACATCCATGTATACTGAGAAAAAGTGTTAGATCTTGCCACTTGGTGGATTTAGGGTAGTTTATAATAAAAGCTTTTGTTATTGTTGAAATCTTTCTCTCTTGACAATATGGAAGTAAAAAAAATTACAGTTAGGCCCAAAAAATTTTTTCGGTCTCTGGTCAGACCAAAGTTCCGGAATTGACGCGGCGACGCGGCTTTTTTTTTTTTTTCTTCTTCAAGCTTGGATTGTACGGACAAGGTGGGGTACAATTTTGGTGTCCTCATGTACATTAGTGTCCTCCATAATTTGCCTTGGTGCTTTCAATCATTTGCCTTGGTGCAATTTCCCATTCCTTGGTGCTCTTTGGTAAAAAAAAATTGAGCAGGTGCGGCAATAGAGGGCGCTGTTGGAGCTACCGCGGAACATTTTGGAAAAAAAAAAGATTGACACGCATGATTAAAATCGACGCGCGCGCTGACCAGAGACCGACTTATTTTTTTTTTTGGCCTTACATGTGTAACTATTAACAAATTTGGTTCAGGTCAGACAGAATTGTGAATGCATATTGACAACTTCCAATTGGCAAACAACCACCATGGTTTATCTGATGATGGCTGTATTCATCAGTGACTTCTACCAATGGACTGTGGACTGTGTCAATAGAATCTACGCTACGGCAAACAAGGCATAGATCTGCATTAGGCAGACAAATCGTACAACATGCATATTTATCGTGTTAACGATACAATGTACATTCAGAGCGAATCCATGTAGACATAATTTGAATCTGAGCTGAATATTATGTCCAAATTCCAAGATTCCCAAAAAAAACTCAGTTTTCTTTTTCTACAAAAACCCTCCCAGGCAAAGCGAGGATACACATAATATACCACTAAAAAATAAACATGTACATGTGTATTGTAACGCACTTGCCATCAAGGTGTGTCAACTAAAAATAGCTACATGTACACATGTGCATGTTAGCGGGCAGACAAATTTGCCTGAACTCCAATAAGAAAAAGTACTCAACCATAAACATTTTTTATCAAAAGAAAGGTTCTGTAGTGCTAACTGTGCATGTGCATGTGACATAGAGTGTAGTTTATCAAAATGCAAGAATTGGTAGAAAATTAAATTGTAATTGAATCGGCAAAATGGAAATTTTTGTTTAAATATTGCATGCTTG